AGAGAGAGAGAGAGAGAGAGAGAGAGAGAGAGAGAGAGAGAGAGAGAGAGAGAGAGAGAGAGAGTGAGGTGGGGCAATCGCTGATGAGCCAATTGCCGGGAAGACGTCTTGTCATCTGCGACGGCGATTGGCCCTGAATGATTGAGGAAACACACACACACACACACACGCGCGCGAGGCCGGGATGCGCCGCTCGCGATGGCAACCGCCGTCGTCCGTCCGTTCCCACACGCGCGGACGACCGCGGCCATCCGGTCCGCAGTACCGGTCGCCGGCGAACCGACACGCCCGTCACAGGCCGAAAGAAAAAAGAAAAAATAAAAAAATAAAAAATAAAAAAAATTCAAAACGCGAGTCGCCCTCCGGCCATGCCACCGACCACAGGGACGCCGGCCTAACGCGCGTCAGGGCGCTACCGGAGGCCAACGGGCCAGAAGTGAAAACGCACCTTTTCGACCAAAAATAAATTCAACAACGAAAACGAAAAGTCCCGCAGGACACAGGCTCGCGGAAATTTTGCGCGCAGCATAATTCACATCCGGCAAAAACAGGCTCGGAGGTACTGGTGGTTTAACCAAAAAAAAAAAACACATGAAAGAGATGGTTGCACTTCTTTTTCTTTTTGTTAAGAAAATGCTTTTTTCGATTAAAAATGGCTGTCGGTCTGTGACTCTTCCTTGCCCAAGGAGACTGAGGTCAACTGCTGAAGGAAAAGAAAACAAAAGGAGAAGTCAACTGCTGGGATTCAGGAATACTACGGTAGGACTTCTGGGATTCCCCACCCAGACAGATGCATCTGCACACAGCCAAAATCGAGGTCCGATACATTTAAAAAAGTGCTTGTGTGAGCATGCAGAAAGTGGTGATCCCCCCTTTTTTCAGAGGGATAGCGCCCGTTTGGTGGCCTTTGCGTTTTCTTTTCTATCAATTTTTTTTTTAATTCCCATTTTTCCCCGTCTCAGCTCTAGAATGTCTTTTATCCCTTACCTACTACCGTCTTCACCCGAATAGAACGCCCGGTCATTATAGCCGTATTCGGAGCAACTTTCCGTCTAGATACAGGGATAATGACCGGGCGTTCCATTCGGGTGAAGACGGTAGTGGGCACCATCACTGTTGAAAATATGGCAATATGAACGAAAAATAGCCAAAAAAAAAAGAAAAAAAAAGAAAGAAAAAACATGACAATACCCATCATATCTCAAGGCTTGCCACGTGGAGGTCATTAATAGAACGGCCAGCGGCCAGTATTTTGAAGTTTATTCTCATCGGCTTTTTCTATGTTTTGCGAGAGGAGTAAGCACAGCGATAAGGGTCCCTAAAAGAGGCCATTGTGCTCACCTTCTCTACCTTATTCATTCGTCCTTGGAGGGGATCTGGTCCGTTTGGAAGCGTTGTCAATTGCCAATTGCCACGGCCCATTGAAAAATGGGCAAGGAGGTTGGCTTGGGAAGTTGGCAGTTGGAGCCAGACAGACGGGAAGACAGACACGACCACCATTCATTCCTCTCCCCTCCCCCCTCTCCCCACCCGACCACGCAAGTGTACACACACACACACACACACACA